TTTGACCACCCCTGTATATTGCTTCCTTAAAAAAATGATAAGCCGAAGTACAGAAAAATATGTTGGGTTTTTCCTTTATGGAAAGATGTTACGACATTGTTTTATTTCCAAAACTGACCAAACATATATATAATACATTAACCTTATAATTAAATAATTACCCAAAAATATCTACAATTGCAATTTTGTACAATAATAATAGACATTGAAAATCTCCTGCCAAGTATCACAAATTCGAAAGTCTGTTTAGCATCCTTAAATCTTCTTTTTTGTTTCCCCCCCAAATTATACCGTTGACGAATTTATTAGCGATGCGATGCCTGAAGTTTTTATTTTATTTTCACATTCTTTTCAGCTGTCTTACTATATTTTCAATTTGATTTTTTTATTTTTTGCTAACGACATTATTGACTTTTATAGCTTGGCTATGGCTTCGGTGCGTGCGGGTAGGATGTGTGTGGGGGATAACTTGTAATTCCGTTTATTTTTTTCCGGCTGTCTGTTTTTTGTTTGTACTTTTTATTGGCGGCGACACGTAGCGTGCGGTGCGTAAAAAGCGTGAAAGAGACAACCGCATGCATTTGCCGGATTGCCAGCGGAAACGGAAATCACAACACAACGCGCGGACTAAACATGACAGCCAAAAGCTGTCATGTCCCACAGCGATCCGTGTGAGTGTGAGTGTGTATGTGAGTGTGTGTGAGAGTGTGCATGGGGATATTGAAAGCGATGCCCTGGGAAAAAAGTGTCACGAGCGAAAGGAGAGAAAAAACCTGAACTGGACTGAGCCCCTAACCGAAATGAAATGAAATTGCAGGCCCAGAGCCCCAACTACAGCCTTAATACGATTGTGGTCTAATGAATTAAAGGCTGAACCAACACACACGAACGGAGAAATCCAAGACAAATCAACGCAGAAAAATCTGCTGGGGTAACGGAGTTTGCACTGCGAATAAAACGTTTATGTACCCAAGAAATAAAAATACAGTTTAGCCCATTTTAGTAATTTTAAAACTCAAACGAGCTAGGCAAAGACACACACACATTCAATGGCTAACTTTATAATTAGAAAGTTCATTTTGTCATTAAATAGTTATTAATAAGTTATTATTTTAACTTATTACGATTTTTAATTTTTAAATTTCCTCAACTTAAATTAAACGTTGGTGACTCTAGAAATTGTTTGCAAAGCATATGATGGTGTATTTTTCTATGTGGGAACTGAGAGCTAGAAGATTGTAGCAAAACGTGTGTCACACCAAAAACACAAACCCAAAGCAAAGCAAAGCAAAGCCACGGAGAGCAAACAAGTGAAACAAACTCAGGAAAAGGACATCATGGTGCTGGAAAAGCAAGTGCAAAATTGTAGGAACAAAAGTGAACGATGCCATTGAAAAAAAAACACAGGCAGTAAAAGATTGAATTTGTATCTATGTCCATGTATCTGGCCACCAGCCATTGCCCATGCTCCTCCAGTTCCCATCCCCATCCTCGACTGATTGTGTGTGCCTGAGCGAATAACTGGCCGAGCAGATCTGCCATCTGAGACCTATGTGGACATGGTGCGTTTAACCACGTAATAGTCTCGGCGGCTCTGCGGATTTACGGCAGCAGTCAGAGGGCTTAGCACAGTGGGCTCAGAGCGACCCAAGGGTCTTACAGATCCATATAATTAAACCAATTTGAGTTTGAGTAGGGAATAAAGGTATGTCCAGGCTCCTAACGAGTCTCAGTTGAGTTTATAAGCCTCTTAAAACCAGTTTCTAACTTAAATGCCTTGGGGGTATTTAGAATTCATAACTTTAAAGATTGTTCTTGAATATATCAATTAGGTATAAACAAAGCAATTAAGTTTGGAGTGGATAATAATTATATTGTAAACGAGAGTTTTATACTTTAGTTGTTAAGCCTCTTATAATCATGTTGATAGTTTGAATACATTACGAATTTGTGTAATTGTAAAGTCTATATTTATTTTAATAACTTTGTATTTTCATTATTAGGTTAATTACATAATTTAATTTAGTTCAGCTCACCACTATTCGAAAATGGAAAGTATAATTTTTTGTGTATTCTTACTTAAATATAGAATTCATAATTTGATGTACAACCTAATATTTATGAATAATTTTATGTAAAGTCTATATTTATTTTAATAACTTTGTATTTGCATTTATAGGTTAATTACATAATTTAATTTAGTTCAGCTCACAACTATTCGAAAATGGAAAGTATAATTTTTTGTGTATTCTTACTTAAATATAGAATTTATAATTTGATGTACAACCTAATATTTATGAATAATTTTATCCTTAACTTTAACATTTATTTTAAGCCACTTTAAACCTCAATTAAAGCTACTATGACAATAAGGGAAATTATAATAGGTTGGTTATTTCTAAACCTGCCAGCAAAACAGACATCAATATTTATTTTTGGTACAAAAAAACCATTTATTTTAAAATGGATGTTCGTCCGTTATGTGTTTAATAAATCTCATAGAACATTATAAAATTTTTTTTTGTTATCATGCTTTAAGCATCGATTAGGATGTGTGAATATTAATAATAATTGATTTCATTTGTATATAAGAAAATATGAGAAAATCTCATAATTTATAATTATAAATATTTTAATTAAATGTCGTGAGTTTCCTTGAAGGGTTATAGTTATAGCGTAGCAATTACTGTAAAATTCTAAGGAATATGACTAAAGGAATGGCAATTGCTTTAAAGTTTTTGTTTTAATTCAGTACGAACTAAAATGTTAGATAATCCGCTTTGGAATTTTTCAAATAAAAAAGAATTGACGGTTATTATCACACATTAAAAACTATCACTACTTTAAAAAAAAAACAAAACAACGCGCTTCCTATGAGTAATGATTCTAGTTTTTGTGTTGGGTGGTGATCAAGTTCGCTCACTCAGATCAGTCCCTAAAAACGCATCGACCGGAATACTCAAAGTAAATTCGTTTTTTATTCTTGGCTTTTTTTAGGTCCTCTTAAACTAAATCACGGATAGGGATTTATAAAAACAGAAAATACTCTCTGAATAAAGTTGGCAAAAAATATTCACGAGGTACTCATCTCATAAAATATAAAATCAATTAATTAAATAATTATACGCCGACCCCAAAGTTTACTAATTAGTTTGAAAATTTTCTTGCTTTTACCTGTGGACGCTATGATTCTGTCGGTAGATCCTTCTGCTAGGATTGTTGGCTACTGTTATTGGGTTGTTTTGTATTTTAGTTATAATGTAGTAAAGATGTAATTATTGTACAAATAAAAAAAGGTTAAATTTGAACCAAATTAATTTGACCAATAGAATGTCACTTTGGAAAACGTTTTCGAGCGGTCGGTCGACTGTGATATTTCATAAGCCTTGTAGATACTCTCAGCACACTCGCAATATGTTATCATTGTATCAAAGGCTTTTTCAGGCTATTGTTTCATCTTGCACAGATTCATGGCCGTTTGCCTTTGGAGCCTGCCTTTCCAGTCCTCTCCCCCATTCACATTTTTCTTTTTAATAGGAAAAACACGTCTTCAGACTCCTGTCCCTGAAGTGCGTGTTTGGCCAGCTTTGTTTTCGCATGTGAAAGTATTTAATTCAATTTGCGCTTAATTGAGACAGGCTGACTGTACAGCCCAGCCCAACGGATCCCCACCCCAGAATCCCGCACCAGTAGGCAGCTGTCAGGGCAAAACCAAACGAAGCGTTACGCGGGCTGACAGCCTGCCACCCAGCCCCACCCCAAAATCCCACCCAAATTCCAGTCAGTTGATAAAGCATCAAAAGAAATGTACGGCCGAGTGTTGTATCGTTCGTTGTCTTAACAATTTATAAATTAATTATGTATGCACTGTGTGTGTACTGTTGGCCAAAAGCAGAACCACAGCCACGATTCAAGACCATCATATGCACACACATTTAGCCATAGTCACACATTTATGTACTTAGCCAGACACCATATGCGTAGTCATACATTTTAAATATAAACGCGTTAAATGTTTCAATGCCACTCGCTTAGAGTTGTCAGTTGTCATTAGAGATGGACGTGAAACAGATTTTTTCTACCAAGACCAGAATGCTAAGTACTTGGCTAATAAATCATGGAGTCGGCTGGACGGTTTTACTATAAAAATTCATCTATGGTGGTTTTACGATATTCTTAGATAGTTGCGGGTCACAAGTTACTCTTTTGGTGGGTAGTGCTGGCAAAACATTAATAGTGAAATTTAAAAAAAATGCTCTGATTGCCAACTAGAAAATATGAAAATGCACGTCATAAAATTACTTATCTGCAATTTCCGTTTATGGTACAATCGTCACCACTTTCTTATCTTTTAAAGGGATGGAAGAATACGGAGCAACATATGTATATGGGGAACAAGGTTCTCAGCTGATATGTTAAGCCCAAATCATGTATGTATACATTTATATATATAAAGCATATTATTTTGATATATATATACGTTCTTAAATTTGTTTTGAAGTTTGTTTTAAGTTCAGTAAGAACATCATCTTTATTATATCCTTGCAGAGGGTATTATAATTTTGGTCAAAAGTGTGCAACGCAGTGAAGGAGACATCTCGGACCCTATAAAGTATATATATTCTTGATTAGGATCGCGTCCTGAGTTGATATAAGCATGTCCGTCTGTCTGTCCGTCTGTCTGATAAGTCAGAACGGCCGGGATCGGCCGACTATATCCTATAGTTGCCATACAACTTATTGATCGGAAATGCCATTACTTTGGTGTTTTTAAAGTTAGGAAGTTGGGATTTTTTATGAGTATTAGGAATGCATCAAATGAATAGTTTTGGAGAATATAATTTACAGAATATTCTGCAAGGGTATATCAACTTCGGCTCCGCCCGAAGTTAGCTTTTCTTTCTTGTTTTTTTTTAATGTCTGATAGGCCGCTTTTTTTTTAAATTAAAAAGAATTTATTATTATCAAATATATTATATATATTATAAAACGATCTGGATTCTTGTGAGTAATGAATGAGTTGCGGTTATGGATGGAGATTAAAATTTGTCCGCTCACTCGAATCAGTCGTTAAAAACCCATGGTCCGGAATACTCAAAGTAAATTCGTCTTCGTTTTTAATTCTTTGCCATCCTTGTATCCTTTTTTATAAGGGTGCTGAAGGCTTAACTACTCATCTTATTAAATTAAATCAATGTTGGCAAAAAATATTCTTTACGAGTTACTCATCTTATAAAATAAAAAATCATAAAATTAATTAGTAATGCTAGAAAATTGTTTGTCTTGCTTTAACAATTTGTAACAATCATTTAAAATCTTTTATTTTTAGATTCTTTACGGAAAAATGCGAATACTTCTGGGATGCTTGACTACAGTTATTTTGGCAATGGTGCGAAAAACAAATTCAGAGATTCCTGGCTGCGATTACTATGACACTGTGGATATCTCGGAAGGCCAAAGGTTCCCAAATGGTTCTTTTCTATTTGAAAACCTTGTCATACCCTCCCATTTGACGGGTGTATATGACTTCAAACTTTTAGCGAATAACTCTAAGGAGAATGTAGCGAGCCACATGAGAGGATGTGTCTGTAAACTGAGGACCTGCGTAAGATTTTGCTGCGGTCACTACGACATATTGGAAGAAAATCAGTGCCAGAATGACACGACACAGGACGAGCTGAACCAACTCGATCCATACCTGAACATGACCCTTAATGACGGTTCGGTGGTCAAACGGCACTTTAAAGACAAAATGATCGTACAGTGGGATTTCCCAATGCCGTGTAACAGCATGTTCTACCTAGACATCCGGGAAAAAACCGATGAGTACTCTCTTTTCGAGGTTTTTTCTTATTGTATACACATTGGTTCTATGGATAATCGGTATTTTCTTCTTAGAATGGAACCTTTCTACGGCACTATGATAACGCAACCCTGAACAAGCGGCAATACTGTCTTCAGCATTATCTTTTCGAAGACAAAACCGATAATTCAACTTTCTTCCGAATCGCACCACACAACTGCATGACAGAGGAATTGAAACAGACACGCCAAAAGACACAGAAAACGTGGCAGACTGTCGGTAAGATAAAATCCAACAATACCTTAAGTGGTCCCTAACCTTCCCAACTATCTCCTATCAAAGCCATGGTTATATCGCTGATATGTATGATTCTTACGATCGGCGTATATCTTTTCGTCGAAGAGCTAAGAAACTTGCTGGGCAAGTGCTTCATCTGCTACATGGTCAGCCTGTTCATAGCCTACCTTTTCCTGCTGCTCAACTTGTGGAGCTTAACGAAAGATTTCTGCATTACAGCAGGTTAGTTTGCATACAGTTTGGCCTACAGATACCAAATGGATATTCTGACTTCTTTGTATCTCCATCAGGCTTTATAGGATACTTTTTCGTCATGGCTGCGTTCTTGTGGCTTTCCGTCATCAGCCTGCAGATCTGGATAACGCTCAACGGCCTTGGGTTGAAATATGACTTCCTGTCAGACAATCCATTTCCGTCCTACAACATGTTCGCCTGGGGCATGTCGATTGTCTTGACCGGAGTCACCTATCTAGTTGATAAGTTCGCAGATCACGAAAATTGGACGCCTCAAATGGGCGCCAAAGAGGAATGTTGGATCTATAGTGGGTTTAGATTTCCAATTTTTTTCGATTAATGGTTGTATATATGTTGCCTTTCTACCCACAGCCAAAGATTGGTCTGCCATGATCTACTTCTACGGCCCGATACTATTGCTAATTATCTTCAACATAACCATGTTTATCCTGACGGCTCGAAGTATAATAATAGTGAAAAGGACCATTAATAATTTTACTAACAAGCAAGAGAGGACGAAAAAGCTGAAATCGGATACAGAGTCGTAAGTTAATTTATATATACTCGTATATATATCTATATATTTTCGCTCCTTATTTTCTTACAGATACAGCTACTTTCTGCGGCTCTTTATCATCATGGGACTCCCTTGGAGCCTTGAGATAATCTCCTACTTGGTGCAAAGCGAGGATCGATGGGCCGAGGTTTTTAAAGTGGCTGACTACTTTAATTGGTCCCAGGGCACCATTGTATTCATTGTCTTTATATTAAAGCGCAAAACGCTGAAACTTATAATGAAGAGGTAAGTAGTCTGCAACTCTGCAAAAAGCTCGAGTAACCAGATCTTATCAGTGCCTGAGAAGTATTAAGGGCAACATATCTTGCTTGAGAATGCAAATTTGGTCCAAAATGTGTTATAATGGGTAATTTGTAGTTGGAAATCTATAATGAAAGTCAAAATTTTGGGAAAGTCTGTGATCTTATGTTCAAAATTCGGAATTTCTTAGAAATTGTTGTCTTTTTGAATTAACAAAATATGAAAATATATTTTTATTGTCAGCATTAGGAAATTCGAAAATGGGGAGACCCACTTTTGAAAATGTAACTTACGGCTATATTTATACGTTCTTTTATAATGGTGTTGATAAGAGTGTTAACATGGCTTTAATTTCATTTTTTGCATAAACTTGTAATTTAAATTTTTTCTTAGAACACTTAAAAAATCACGGCTGAGATCCAACAATATGAAATCAACCCGAGGGTCAGCTGGTGGATACGTCAGTAAGGCTCCAAACACAACCCTGTACTCAACCAGTGTGTAGATATCTCGCAAAAATGTGATTTTCATTAATACTTAAATTAAATAAATTTATTGAATATTTATTTATATTTATTATTAGATTACACAAATTTCATATAAAAACATTTTTCTGTAAAAATAAAGTATTGAGAGCAATGCAAGTTATAGTTATAACTTAATAATTATATTTGGTTTACATTTAAATTAAGAGGCTGGTCTTGAGTATAAAATACAATTGTTTAAGTTTTTATTTTGTTTTAAGTTCATAATGTTTAGAACTAATGTATGCATTTAACATTAATGCATGGCTCTCTTACGCTGCAATTTTAAAAATTCAAAGATTGATTCCTCCAGTCAATCGAGTAAAGCTTAAATCAAAAGCTTATTTTATGTTTTCATAATTTTATGGCCCTGTTTTATGGTGTCAGCTTTTCCAAGCCAGCCATGCTAATATTATGGCTTTTAGCTACCCTTCAAGTATTTCAAAAATTGTTATTTTTATTCGCCAGGGGAGGACTTTGAAACCATATTTACACGGCTCAAACTGTATGCTTTATCCCAAAATTTTAGAGTTCGCATTAAAATTTGCATTACTGAGTGGCAAGTGTCATGACACATTCCCCTAGCTAAAGTTGTCAACTTTTCGCCGAGTTTCACATTTCGCAAACTGTGTCGCATTACACGTTTTCAGATTCAAAATTGTTTGGCTCGGCTGCTGCTGTTGTCTCACTAATTGTCACTAAATATGGCTTCAGTTAATTCCAGTTTCAGTTACTTAGCAGCTTAGCTACACAAGTGACTGGAAATCGAGAGAGTGCCGAGGGATACACACCCGTCCATCATTTGATAAACTGTCTGTCAGTCATCCAGTCAGTTAGTTAGCAGGTGAGTCAGTGAAGCGTTCAATCTTCTCACATTTTTTAGCACCTTTGTCAGCTTAGCCAGCTTGTGTCAATAGCGTTTGTGCTTCTTTCGTTCGAAGTGCGAAAAATGTTGCAATATCTTCACTTGGCACTCTGACAGATTCGAGAACGCCTCTGGGGTTTTGCCCAGCCAAATAGTTTTGAGGATGCCGATGCCTGTCACACATTTTTTGCCACCCTTTGCCTGGCAACCATTTTTGATGTTTGTCAAAGTTGGCAGATAAACAAAAACCGACCGAGAGCAGAACAACAACAGATTAAGGAGTTATAACTTGCAGTGCAAGAAGTGTGAGCATAAAGCCCGAGTCGAAACCACCCGACAAGTTTGTAAGCCCTTTGGCTTACACATGTCGGAGCCATAAAACGATGCAATTATCTCTCTTGTTTCAGCGTTTTAGGGGCAAAAGATCTATTTTAACCGCACACTGCGGTATGTCTAAGATGAATAATAGCCGTAGTACCAAGTTCGAATTATTATACGAACATTGATACCTGCAATGCACAACAAAATATTTTTAACATAACATTTTTGCACATCGCCCAGAGATATTTCTCCTACATGACAGCAGTTCACATATCATTTCATTTTATTACTAGGTCATATTAAAGTCACTTTAAGACATTTCAACATGCAATGAAGAGAACTGCATATTAGTTTAAATTAAACCAATTAATTCGAGTTAAAGCAATAGCAGACTTTAAAAATTCTTAATTTAACAAAGAATATAGATGTCAGCCTACTATTATTTATTTGTTTTTTTTGTGTTTAGGCAGCATTATACAAACTAAAAAAATTCCTGTAAAAAATGTTACAAAAGTTTTTCTTTTTCTGTTGATATTGAAGCGTTTGAGTAAAATAGTTCAAAATTATGTTTATCTTAAATTACTAAATCCATAAATTGCTTAATAAAATTAAAGCGTTATAATACCTTTTATAACCATTTATATAGATGGTTTGATAGTTCTCCAATTTCATAGTTTCTAGAATCATTTTCAATAAATTCTTTTATAGGGAATCGCGAGGTCCGCAGTCTTACCCAATTTGTTCCCAACCGTCTTTAATTGCTCTGAGTCATTATTTTGATTAGTTTTTATATTTTTATATTTTTCTCTTTATCTCATTTTCAACGCCGTGAATTCAATACGATAAAAATGCTTGCTTGACCTTGAGGCGCATCTAACGATGCTATTTTTTTCTGCGGTTTAAGCTTTATTTTTTTTGCTGTTCTTACTATGGTGCTATTTATTCTCTTATTTCTGTCTATCGCTTACTATTCATCGCTTTTGCCTTCTGTTTTCGGTTTGGATTTTTTTGTCTTGAATTTCTGATTATTGTTGCTGCCTTTTGAGTTAACATTTACCTTTTCTCAATTCACGTTAAAAATGATTTTTGTATCTTTTCGTGTAATCAAGAGAAGCACCTTGCAGCGATTTTAATTATTGATTTTGTGGCGCAGTCGGTTTTTGTGGTTCGCTCCAATCATTATTATTTGACTTTCGTACAGCTCATGCATAGTTATTGTTATTGTGGATTCCAACTTGTGGGGTGGTGCTGTGGGTCAGAGGGGAGGGGATGGAAGATGGGGGCCCTACCCACACCAAATCTTTAACTAGCTGAGAGTCACCTGATTGTGTCTAATTATAAGGGGTTTAGTACAGAGGGTACTTAATGTCATCGAAAAATGTGCTTCCTAACAATATTCAAGTTGTAAAATTGTTTGTAAGTATTACAGCGTTTGTAATGCATCTTAATCATACCCTTTAGGAAACGTTTTTTTTATGTTTATTTAAAATGTGTAAAATTGTAGGTTTCAAAAACATTTTTTATTGACAAAATAAGTTGAGCTTAAACATTTTTAGATATGATAATTTTCAAAATTTATGAGGGATGAACAATAAACTTCCAAAATTGTGAACTAACACAAATGTACGAATTTAAAAACCATTTATAATTGAACAATACAATTTAAAACAAAAGAAACACTAAGAGACTAAATTGGTTTTCAATCAATAAAAAAATTTAAAATGTAACAAACGTAGGTATTTAGAAATTATTTTCATTTAAAAAATACAATTAAAAAAAATAGATCAGCAAAATATTGTTTCATGTTTGTTTAACCTTTCTGTTACATTTGCCTACTACATTTTCACAATAAATTCATTCGGGCAGTGATCACTGTGATTGCATGTGCCTAGCTCAACTGACCCACTCAGCTGGCTTGACTTCATAAGCATCACTCAAAACGCTTCAGCTGCTGCTGTTTTGCTTATTTGCATCAAGTCGAGTGGGTTTCGCTTCTTTATTATTAAGTTTTTTCTTATTTTTAATGATTTCTGTTCTGTGGCTGCGGGTTGGAATAACAAGCAGCGGCGAGAAAAATGCAAAAAAATAATTGTTATAAAAGTGTTTATAAGTCAAGGTCAGGCAAAGCACTTTTTTACTGATGTAACACTTTGCACCACCCCTCCCCGCCTTTTCTCACTCAGCTGGTGGCAACCCAGATCCGTTTTATTTATATTTGTATTAAATGCTAGCTGCGGTCCTCTATGTATTATATATGCGCATTTTATATACGTTTGTTGGTGGATGCACTTATATACATATATATAAAACATTGCATTTTTATTCCAGTTCTGGCAGGCGCAAGTGGTTTTCGCCCTTGCGCTAAGCCATCTCAGGCTGCAAATGCATTAAATCCAGCCTTGAACTATGGCTTACTCTACACACAAACATATGGAAAATATATCGTATATGGCTTCTTTTTGTTTGCTATTTCTTGGCACTATTATAATTTGGCAAATTTTCTGTTCGGTTGACACTTTTCTTCTGATTGAAATCTTTTATTTGATTTCGGTTTGCTAAATTGGCTTTTCGATTGGCTCAGCCTGCTACAATAATCCTGTCAATATTTCAATAAATTATTTCGATACCATCAGGGATATTTTCTGCTTAATCAAACATGTTATATCTAGAACGCTTTATTTACAAACAAAAAATTAAACGAATAATTAAATACTTCTATACACACAAATAAATTTAAAAAATTTTGAGAAAATTATTAAATTTAATTCTTCTTATCTTTATGGGTTATACCTGGGCCAATCAATTTTAGGGGACCTATCTTCTTATAATTATTTAAAGAAAAAATGTATTTAGAATCCCGAATTGCATCGCAAAGAATATTTTCCGAAACAAATAAAAAGCTGTCAGGGCTTCTTAATAATAGATCAAAATAAATCCATCATAAAAAATATTTGTTTTCAAGAATTTTTATAAGAATTTCTTTCATCATTTTTATTTGAATATATTTGAAATGACATCAAAGTTTCCCCAAATTATAACTTTCGAAAAGAATTCATTTCAATTTGCCTCTGATAACCCGAAACTGCTGAAAAGAAACCCAAAACGGCCAACGAGGGAGCCACAACCATTTTGTGCTATTAAATATATACAATTTAATAGATTAATTGATTCTAAAACAACCCAAAAATATTCTGTTGAAAGCCTTTTTAATAGCATTAAACACACAAAAAGGGCACCCCAAACAATCGTTTCCCCACCCAAAAAGCGACTCCACTTCACTTTATCCCCACTCAAGCACACACAAAAATATCTTGATGAAGATGAAAATATTTTCCAGTTGCGTGCGCCAAAGCTGAAAGCCAATTTAAGTATAATTTCCTTTAAGTAATTAAATTTGAATCAAAAATCTATGAGCAGACAAAATGTTGTTTGCCGTTGCCGTTGTTGTTTTGTTTAGACAACACTCAAAGTCGGCAGCAGCTCATTAATATTTCTTTGCATGGGAGACGCTTTCGGTGGCGTTTTGCCTTGAAATGGGTCGTCTGGGCTTTGGGTCTATGTGTTTGTAATTAAGACAAAAGGTCACCGAGGGCCCAACGTTTTCTGGTGGGGTTCGGGGGCCTTACACCTGGTGCCCATTCAGAGGCCCATGCTCAAGCAATACCCATTTAGCATATTAATCATCCTTAACACGGCCAAACATAAACATTTAAATAAGTCAAATAAGGTATGTCGTATACGTGATATCAAGTACGGGCTTTTGTTTACTTTTAGGTTGATGCTGAGGTATTATAATCAATTAAGATACATAAATTAAATTTTATTTAGCAGAAACTAAGATTAAGCTTTGGCAAAAATTATAAAAAAATTATATTTTTAATTTCATATTACCAGAAAAATAATTGATAACATTAAAATGCAAATGGATTTAAGTACATTAACTATTCTGAAAATAAATTCCATGTTCGAAAAGTATTCCGGAGCTTCCATTTCCACACCATCAAATTTACCAAATGCCCTGAATAATTTACAAAAGTTCACATAAATTTTCAAACATGTTTAAACCAAAGAAATAAAACAAAAAATTAAGCTAAATTTATATTCAAGCAATGCAGGGGATCTAAGCACTGAAAGTACTGAATGTATTACATTGCCAAACATTTCGATCACGTACGCAGAATTTTAAGAACAAAAGTGCGCCAAGCAGAAGAAAAAAGAGCACTAGGATGCTGCGACAAGAGGAGAAGGGTTCCGAATGCTCACACACCATTTAAATACAGCTGGAGTGCATACAGTTTTGCGCTTTTTGCGCAGCGCACAGAGGGTCAAAAGCAAATCTGCTTACAAAAAACATAGAAAAAGAGTATAAATATATTTGAACAAAAATAGCCTATGATAAACCAACCAATATACATTTTAATTAAATCGTAAAACTAAAGTCCCATTGAAAAGAAAACCGTGTATCCTTGTTATGAAAAGAAAATTTTTAAATAAAATGTATTTTATTTAACTTGTAATACATTTTTTATATAGATTATTTTCAGTTGCCATTTTTACAAAGAGTAATTTTAAAGTGTTCATTTTTAAATTACTTTTGTCGAGAAATATTTATGTTAGTTTTTATTGATTAATTTAACACTTAGGCAGGTGGTTGTTTT